CTGCTTTTGATTGCACCAAATAATGTTTTGCAAGACAAGCAAACATTTCTGAAAAAGTTTGCCTTGATATACAAGCAATGTCTTGCAATAAGAGCAAAATTTTGTAGAAAAGCACCACCCGAATAAGGCTGAAGCAGTGCGAGCGATGAGTCTGTTTAACAACAATGCAATGTCACATTGGATAGATTCCTTGTTAAGGTTTCACAAAATGAAAAAGATTCCATTGAGTCAAGAGATAGCAGTGATTCCGTTAGCGATAGTGAAAGTCGTCCACAATAATCCTCCTCTCTTGTCCCCCTCACACCAGCCACGAAGGTACCGGTAATTGGTTTATTTTTCTATATATTTTGTACAGTATTATAATAATTTTTTTATGACTATTTTTGGGTTGTGGAACGAATCATCTGAATTTCCATTATTTCCTATGGGGAAATTCGCTTTGATATACAAGCGCTTTGGATAACAAGCATGCTTCCGGAACGAATTATGCTCGTAACCCAAGGTATTAAAAAAAATTATAGGAAAGGACTTCTGGCACGGCAATAAACATTATCAGTTGTCTTCCCCCGGGAGAGACAAGCCAGCATTTTTACCCTTACAATGCTCTTTCATCGTATGCTGCACATACATATATAATACCCAGAATATAAATGTACACCTAATAGCGCAGTGCAACTGGCCGGACACTGAGCTTATCCGGGGCTATAGACCCCTCCTGTAGTCAGAAGGGTCATTCCCCTGTGGAGCAGCCCCACCTAGGTGAAATGGAAACATGAGGAACCTTAACCTATACCCAATAACAGAGCCTTATCAGGATTAACCCTAGTGGGAAAGCAAAGCTCTTGCAGCATAAGGGCAAAGAATATAACTGCGCAACCTAATTGGCAGTAATTGCTCGAGATTGACTGGAGGTTCCCCCCTGTGCATACAGCAAGGTCATTCACCTGTGGAGCAGCCCCCACCCAGGTGACAACCAAGACTTTTGCAACATAGGGAAAAAAACATATCCGTGTAGCATAATTAGCAGTAATCGCTCCAGATTGACTGGAGGTTACCACCTGTGCAGACAGCAAGGTCATTCACCTGTGCAGCACTCACCTCCAGGTAAAATGGCCTATCTGCAAAGCCTGTAAATTGCACCTTTGTCTGCCTCTCCAGGTAAAACAGGGTGATTCAGTCGCCACCCCAATACCTCCGTCTGCCCAGTACATTGTCTGCAGGTTTAAGAACATGACTTAGCCCCCCCAAAGCACATCGCAATACCTCCACCAGAGTGTTGGCCCTGCAGTCTCAGGGTTTCGATGACACTAACGCTGCAAGGAATACCTTCCAGTACAAGGTGTACATTAAAGGGGAGAGTGCAGCCAAAGTCCAGAGAAAGAAGGTGAACAGCCAGGCTGTCCTAAATAAGATACAGCCAGGATCCATCCCCAGTAACTGGGCTCACAACTGTATAGACGGTGTTCTCACGTCTTACATGAGCACCACTCAGTCCAGGAGAATCACCTGCCAGATAAGAGAAAGGACCCAAGACTGTCCAGAAGAAACTTGAACTTAAAGGAGAACTATGAGGTGAGTGATTTTCACTCACCTCATAGTTCTAGCCGACCTGTGACAATTAAACTGTCACAGGTCGGCTCAGTAGATCGGGGAGTGAGCGAACATATACCGGCGTTCGCTCACCTCTTGATCCTGTGCCGGCAGAGAGACGTGACAGGGGAGGGGCTGGATTCCCCCCTCCCCTGTCCGATCCTCCATCGCTGACTGGCGGAACGGACGGGGAAGGGGGCGGGTACAGCTGGCTCTGCCTCTAGAGGTTACAGCTGGCTCTGCCTCTAGATAGGCAGATCCAGCTGTCACTCACGCAGCTGGGTGGTTCCAGACATAATTGTCGGGATCCGCTGCGGCGTCTCAGTATACCGTGAGCTGTAGCTCGCGGTATACTGAGCTTTGGGTGACGGGAGGACGCTAGTTTGTGTCCTCCCGTTACCCTTAGGAGAACTATAGGGAGAAGCCCTAACCCCATAGTTCTCCTTTAAGGTATGTATAACGTAATTAACCCCTTCCAGCCGGCTGTAGGCATCTATGTGGCCACATGGAAGTGGGCTCAGTAGGAAAGCAAAAAGACACACACCGTGATGTTAGATCACATCCAACTTTAATAAACCTGGCTACTAGGGCTGCAACAACTAATCGACATAATCGATTATAATCGATTATTGAAAAAGTTGTCAACTTTTTCAATAATCGATTAATCGGCTTCCGATCAGTTGGCCCTGTTCACGGGTCCACAAACGCTGCGCGCCGCACCTCCTCCCCAACTCACGCTCACCGCTGCCAGACCCGCCCGCATCCGCGCTCTACACACCTCCTTCCCACATCCACGATTGGCACAGGGACGCGGGGAGATGTAGTAAGGAGGAGCAGGTGTGGGGGGATGACAGCCACCGATAGACAGGTCCGATCTCAGAAGCAAGTTGCTGGAAGACTGCTCAGGTAAGCCTGCACTCCCCCCACCCACATGGTGCTCTATAATGTATTGCTGGGATTTGTATTCCTCTATAGCTGATGGTACATTGTGCTGTATATTATACATAGGAATACAAATCCCAGCAATACATTATACACTGTATGTATAATGTATTGGTGGGATTTGTTGTACTCCTCTATAGTTGCTGATATTCTGCACTGCGCTGTATAGAGGACTACAAATCCCAGCAATAATACATTATACAGTGGTGCAATGCCGAATACCACTAGCTATAGAGGACTACAAAACCCAGCAACAGTACATTATACAGCGCAACGCAGAATACCGCCAGCTATAATGTACTATTTCTGGGATTTGTTGTAGTCCTCTATAGCTGGTGATATTCTGCATTGCGCTGTATAATGTACTATTGCTGGGATTTGTAGTCCTCTATAGCCGCTGCCATTCTGCATTCATTGCTGTATAATTTTACACTTTCCATTTCACTATATTGCACACCACACCATTTTTTTACTTCCACCGCTCCAAGCTTGCTCCTGTGATGGACTACAACCTCAATACAAACTAGTAGTCCATCACTGGAGCCATTTTTTAAAATGTATTTTATTTATCCGATTAACCGAACTTAATAATCGGCTAACTAATCGATTTTGAAAATAATCGTTAGCTGCAGCTCTACTGGCTACCTATGACTGCCCCCTCTCGAACAGATCACCCGATATGGGCTTGATGACAGAGATCAAGAACAGATTGGGTGAAAGGTTAAAGAGGGCCAGTTCTACACAGGCTGTTGTGTGCTATGTAGAGGTACAATAAAGTTGGATGTGATTTCACATCATTGGTGTGCAGCTTCCTGTTTTCCTCAGAGCATGGTTGGGCTCTCCTCAGCTGGCACCCTGAGTTCCAGAGGTGATGGACTTTCACACAAGTTTGGAATGTGATATCCTGCATGGAGATTGGCTTGATGCCATTCTGGCATGTATATGCATAGGGCTGGAAGTTTTTGTGCTGGGAGCATGTTCAATCATGTGCTCCCAACACAGTGTCCACGCTGTCACCAACAGATCCCGGTCACACAGTGAAGATCAGGAGCCGCTAGATTGGGGTCCCGATCATGTGACCACTGTAACAACCAGCGACAGATCCCGGTAGCAAAGTGTCAGCAGCACACCAGATAAAATGGTCAAGTGATCGTCCTATTGACGCATGTGGTCACAATGAAGCAACGTTTCTGGGCCACACAGGGTCCCTTTTATCAGGCTCAGCATGACCTGCGTGGCCCCGAAACGTTGCTTCAATGTTGTGTCTGGTGTGCTGGTGACAAATTGATTTCAGCGCTGCCATTCTTGGTAATTTCAGCACCCATCTCCAGGGGTTTCTGGGAAGGCGTGCAGCGTGACACCTATAGGATCCCACTGAAACAATCGCAGTGATTACATGACGGGGAAGCCCTCAGGCATTATAACATATTAAAAGGACCAGCTACTGATGGAGGTAGAAGGTTGAAAACATTTTTTAAAACAATAGGGGGATATGAGGCAGATTGGGGGAGGGGGGTGTCTCAAAATATGTAGAGGGCCTTTAAAGGAGAACTATGGGGTCAGTGTTTTTCCCCATAGTGCTCCTTAGGGTAACGGGAGGACACAAACTAGCGTCCTCCCGTTACCGTAAGCTCAGAATACCGCGAGCTACAGCTCGCGGTATACTGAGACGCCGGAACGGATCCCGAAGTAGATGACGGGATCCACCCAGCTGCGTGAGTGACAGCTGGCTCTGCCTATCTAGAGGCAGAGCCAGCTGTACCCGCCCCCTCCGGTTCCGCCAGTCAGCGCTGGCAGATCGGAGCGGGGAGAGGGGGCCCAAAAATAATCTTGCACTAGGGCTCTTTGTGCCCTAGGTCTACCACTGACACAGAACATTACCCCAGAGAAGTAAAAAGAAGCCAATGACAGAAAGCAAATAGAACGTTGTTTCTCCTTTGTCATGAAAACAATGTCATAACTGCCAGAGAACACCTTGAAGGGTATTTATCAAATGTGAAGCAGCTGTGAATAGCAACCA